CTCTAGTTCTTTCCTTTATAAAAGCAAGTTTAAGTTCAGTTTTATTTTTTTTTTAAAAAACCTTAATCACTAATGTTAAATTTCATTATAAAACAGATGTCTAAAACATACTGTGCTATCTTTAAGATGCTATGTTACAGCTATATACTTTTGTAGACTAGGTTGTTCTTCAATGAATGCTCAATGAAAGTTCAATCCATGAAAAATAACCGCCTTAACAATTTAAGGTAGCACAAGAGTTATTTTTGCTGCTCAGATATGTCAAAACATCCGTTTTGAAGTATCTGTCTGATAATTGAAATGTTTGTTAAGATCATTTTTCAAATCATACTCCTAGACTGCATTTCCCACTCTTTCTGCTTAAATGTGCTTAATCTGGCTTGCATTCCTCGCTTACAGTGGCTATACAGATTAGATGTGACCAGCAACAGCTCTGTTTTCTGGATTGCATAACAAAACAGTGCGTGTAAAAGATTTGGAGAAAAAGTTCAAATATGTCTGTCCTCCAAAACAAAAATAGTTTAGTAAAATGTCAATCTGTTGATAGTTGAATAGAAGGGGGAATTCCAGCAGCATGAAAAACTGGCAACACAAACACATTATTTTATACAATTATGACAAATACAGAAACACTCATGATTTTGGTGCATGATAGAAATATCTGAGAATAGTACTCTGTGTTGCTCATGGCTGCCAAACGTTTGTTTCTGCTACAGTTTCGTCAGTACATCCAGCAACTAGAGATACTCTAACCTTTCAAATCCACCAAAGTCTAGGGTGAAATGAGAGATTTCCTAATCTTTACTCTTCTCTCCATAGACTTCTATGTATGCCAAGGAGGAAAGAGGAGGTTGTTTCAATAAAATAGAAAGGCCAGTCAAACTGTGTGGTCTTCCAGTTAATTAACTTTCCCAATGAAATAGCGGTCTCAATAATAGAAAAAATAATTTGAGAAATGCAAGGCATGGACACAAACAAACCACAGCTAACCTCTCCCTGTAACATGTAACTGACGGTATAGTGTATTCAATTTATTTCTGAGGTTGAAAACATGTAGTCATAGTACTTGTCACAGAGATTCATAGCCCTGTTCCAACTATGGTGGCTATACGTACAGTACTTAATTGGAAAGAAAACCATCTATTTTAGTGATATTTACTGGTCATACACAGTATTATGCATGTCTGAATTCAAGTCTGAAATTCAACATCATCATAAAAAAATAAATGATTATAGAAACTATTAAAATCTAATATAAAAACAATCAAATAACCATCTCTCTTTTTAGTAAGGCTTATCTATGTATTATTCCAATAACTACAGTACACCTAAATGTAACTTAGAAACTACATTCAATCAAACCGCATGCTTTATACACATTCCAAATTGTTATTGCTATTTGTGCCAGATTATTTTATTTAAATATTTTTTTTAACTATAGATAAAAGAGAATGTTCTGAACTATCTAGCAAAATGTGGAATGCAGAATCTTAACTGTAAGAGTTATATAAATCACTTTAGATTCAATTAAATAAAAACTAAGCACAAAGTTGTATTTTTTACAGTAGATAATGTTGTAAAGCAAGCGTGTAGACCACTGAAATATGCACAGACTCCACTGTATCTACAGTTACTTTCCTTGACACCTGTCAAGTTTCCTGTTCCACCTTACTTTTAAAATAAATAAATAAACAGGAATTATTGTTGGCATGCTGCAAAGTTAAAGCAACACTTTTTAAAGTCAAAAAGGCCTCTGGGTTCTTAAAGTACTGAACAAGTATTGTTAAAAAATAGAGGATTGCTTTGTTTAGAAATATACACACTGAGCGAGCCTACAGAGGGAAAGAGGAAGATGTTGGTCTAGTGCAGGGGTCTGCAAAGTTGGCTCTTTTAAGACTGATGGACTTCAACTCCCAGAATTCCCCAACCGGCTGGGGAATTCTGGGAGTTGAAGTCCATCAGTCTTAAAAGAGCCAACTTTGCAGACCCCTGGTCTAGTGCAATGGCCCCCAAACCTTTGGGCACCAGGGACCGGGTCTGCGGAGAGAGGATTTTTGTGGACTGGAACGGGTGTGGTTTTGCATGCTGTCTGCATCCTGTGGATGGGGCTTTGCTTGTTTGTGCGGCCCAGTTGCTGACATGCTAAGGCCCAGTGTTGATCCATGGAATGGAGGTTGGAGACTCCTGGTCTAATGGTTAAGACACCAGGTTAGAAAGCGGGAAACTGAGCACTAGTCCTGCTTTAGGCAGGAAAACCAGCTGATGACCTTAGGCCAGTCACTCTTTCTCAGGCCCCACCTCATGGGTTGTGTTATTGTGAGGAAAATAGTAGAAAGGAATACTAGATATATTTACTCCCTTGTAAAAATAATAAACTGAGATACAAACAAATAAATAAATGTATCTGTACCAGCCTGGCAGTAGTGTGTGATTTGGCAAGAGCTTCAGGATAGCCATTCAGTGACAACATCCCTAAGAAACTCTTGAAAGTTTTTTTATACTCACTGTACCCAAAGATTCTCTTATATTCACTTACAGCATTAAATAGATTATTTCTGGAAAAGAGGCAATATCTGGATATGTAAAACGCATTGTCAGGATACAAAAAAAAATGTTTGCTTGTTATATTAAAGGAACAACAGATGTAATCCACATGTGCTATGTTCTTTTTGTGGAACAAACCTGTAGTAAATTCATAAGATTCCAGAGAAGGTAATTTAACTTCCTTTTTTTATTCCAGCCAAATGATTGTAAAATTTGTTCAAATGTTATTGCGTTTAAGAAAGACTGACATTCCTTGGAACTCATATTTTTAAAACAAGTGATATCTAATTGTGTGATTTTCTTCCAAAATAGAGAAATGTGCTGGTATTTTTATTCTTTCGTTAACTCAGAAAAATGTTTTCTTTACACCCAACTGCTTTAAACAACAGAATATACAAATTCTACTTGGGCATCCAATAAAGGCAAATGAAAGCTACTTTGAAAAGGGTCATGTAAGAAATAGGTTCAGTTTCATAACCTGCAATGTTTGTGTATTTCCCTCACATTTGAGTAACCACAACCAGCCTACACACATCTGGAATTAGGAGTAAGATCTTGCAGGGCAGAGGGTGTGTCTTCTGGGAAGAACTACAGCTGGGGCATTTTTAATTTATTTAAAACAATTTTTAATTGAACAAAACTGTATTGTTACCTTAAAACTTTATTAGTCATGGACATTCCACAAATATTACATTTCTGTATTAATTATTATTCACAAAGACCTATGACTGCTTAAAAAGCCCCAAGTCTACAAAGTTCACATAAAAAATGTTCATATAGCTGCCGTTTCACCCTGCCCAAGATCATATAAATGTAATAAATTAAAAATGCAACCAATATAAAAAAAACCTAATGGTTAGTTTGGAGGAATAATAAGGTAACATGCTCTAATCCTAGGCATACTGTACTCGAGTTTATGGTGTTGCTGAAATGGATAGAATTTTGAGAAAACAGATTTACTAGAAAAGCACAAAAAGACAAAATATAATTTACCACGAACTATACATTTTTCTTCTTGTAGCAAAAGGAAAATTCACACACAGACTTAAAACAAAAAAAAAACCAGCTTTTAGTAAATACCTTTTGTATGACAGCAGCTTAGTTATTGGACTATATCCATAACCCAGTAAGCTCCACTGTTGTTTTTTACAGGCATTTCAAAATTTCAGGTATTATATAAATATAGTTGAATAAACTACTCTCCCATTATGTACTTCAGTTTTAACCCAACTTTGAACCTGATGCTATTTCTACACACTGAAAAATGTATTAGTTGCAATCCAGTCAAACTTTACCATGTTAAGTTTATTATATCCTTTCAGGCTGCTTGCTGTTTTCTTCCAAATGCAAAGTATGGACCCTTTTTTTCATTCTCACATATCCACTGCTACAGACATTTCATCCCAAGTTTGCAACCTCCCAACTTCGATTCTAAGAGACAAAACTATCTTAATTATCCACCTAGACTTAAGAGCACCACACACATCCAATACTAAATAATCAGAACTAACCAGCGGCAGAAGAGCACATACCATATACAACTGCTATTGCAAAGCACAGTATCACAGAAGCAAAGTACTAAAATGAAAGTACGAAGTATTACTAGCTCTGTCCTTCTACCAAGCGAAAGGGAAAAAAATAAGTGTGACCAGATATTGCTTATAAACAAACCCTAAACCCACAAAGAGCAAAGCACTACTGGGAAACTGAATTTCTTTTCACCACCTCTTCCTACCAAGCTTTAAACTAAGCAGCCTCTTCCCCTTGTACCTCATTTACGCACCTTCCCTAACCTTTCCTTTCCCCTGCTTTCCGATTATAATCATTATTATGACGCTTGGCTATGGCGAAGATCCGACTTCTGATCGTTAACGTGTAGAATGGGGGGTGGGTGGGGAGGATTGGAGGGTGTTTCGGCGATCTCGAGATTCGTCAAGATAGCAACACGAACCCATCCGTGCAATTCTAAGCACGCGTTAAGGGGAGAGAGAGGGAGGGAGGGGAAAAAAACAATAATAAGCGAAAAGCCTAAACACGCCTCAGTAGGAAGTTACGTCCCATTGAACTCAGTGGGACTTCACTTCCAAGTAAACACGGTTAATCGGAAAGCTGCCAAGACCTTCCCAAATTCTCCTCAGCCCCCGCCCCATTTTTCTGTCCACCCCCCCCCCTTTTGCATCCATTTATAATTCACCTCAACGCTCTTTTATTAGTCACTTCACGGACATCCTGTCACCTCCCATTCCCACAAAGCCTGCCTGGAGCAGCCCGGCTCGGCCACCGCTCGCTCTCCTCGCGCGGCGGTTCCCCTTCAATTGCGACTTCCCAAGACCTTGCTCGTTCGCGTGGTGTCCTCCCCTCCCCTCCGCCGCCCAAAGCCCAGACAACTCCCCAGCTCGTAGCCCGCCCGCTCCCGTTGCCTTCCCGCCCCCCCCTTCCCGCCAGGGCCCCATTACCTGGTGCGGGCGCCCGGGCACCCGGCGGGGCTCGAGGGTGCCCGTGTCCAGCGGGACTGCCCCTGCCTTGGCTGCGGGCTCCTAACTCGGGCAGGCTCGGCCCATGGAGATGTGGTGGGGCAGGCGGCGGCGGCTGGAAGTGCGCGGCGGCGGCGGCGGCTGTAGCGGTGGTGCCGCCGTTCATGGCGAGGAGGCTGAAGAATCCGGAGCGAGAACGGGAGCGAGTCCGGGGGGGCTCCGGTGGCGGCGAAGGGCCCCCAGCGGGACGTAGCGGCGGCGAGGGCGGCAAGAAGGCGAGCAAAGAGGGTGGCGAAGGGGCGCCGGAAGGAGCCGCCGCTCTGCCGCCACCACTACCGCCCGTCCGCCCCGCTGCTTCCCCGCCGGCCTGGCCGTGACGCTGGGGCTCCTGGCGCTCGTCGGCGCCGACGGCCCCTGGGTGATGGTGGTGGGGCTTGGCGGGGTCCCGGTCACGGAGGCGGGCGGAGGCAGATAAGGGGCGGGAGTCGGGCTGCTGCACCGTGCGGGGTGGCGAATTGGCGGCCACCGGCATTCGGCCTCGCGGAGGGGCCGGGGGTGGTCTGCGCCCAGCCCAGCCCCGCTCGAGATAAGGGGGTGATGGTAACAGCCCTTCCTCCCCGAGGAGTTGGGGCGGGCAGCCTGCGAAATAGGGGAAGTGCGGCGCGGGTGGTAGAAGAAGAGAGGGGAGGAAACTTCCTTAAGAGGAGGAGGAGCAGCAGCAGCCGAGCAAAGTACACCGGGGGGGTGGGTGAAAGGAAGGGTGGAAAGGAGGCGATGACCGCTTACCCGGACGGGCAGTTGCCTCCGATTTGCCCCTTCCTGCCTGGCCCGCGGGTGGGGGTACCGGGGCTGGGGCGGGAAGGCTTAATTCGGTGCAATAGCAAAAACAAAAGGCGGTCTTGCTCAGGAAACGCAGCAGCTGCTCGCGCACCGCCTCCCTGCCGGAGCAGCAGCAGCAGCACGCCGTGTTAAGAGGAGGGGGGGAGGTAAGCGAAGGGCATCCACGCAGTGAATGTCTGAACGGCACCTTTCTCCGCCCCAAAGCACCGCTGAAAAAGCCACTCTCCGCTTCAGATCCAGACCCAGGGCAAAGTAAGGAAGGAAGAGGAGTCTAGGTTAGAGGCGCGCGTAGCGTGCGCCCGTCTCCAGTAATAACATCCGAGTCGGTCTTTGTGCGGGTAAGCGTGTATCCCTCTGTGCGCGTGTGTGAGAGCCGCCGCCGTCTCCCCCTTTCTCCACGGCAGGGCTGGGGGATCAAGCGCGCCCCGGCCTCTCCCGAGCGATGCAACTTTTTCCCCCTTCTCTCTCTCTCTCTGCTACTTACAGCTTCCTCTTGACAACCTCGATTAAAAAAAAAAAACCCTACGCTGGCTGCTGCTTCCTTTCTCCCAGCCGCACCACTGGCTCCGGCTGAGCTACGCAATCGGCTTGAGAAGCGCAGCATAAATTACACGAGCAAGCGGGGAGCACAAGTCCGCCTGGTCTTTAAAGCTCCCTAGTAGCCCAATCCAGAGAAGCGGAAAAGGGGGAGGGTAAAATGCGAGCCTCCGCAGAACAGGCACTCGTGCAGAGAGACAGTGGCCGACTCATCGTCCGTGTTGCTGGCGTTCGTTCTTCCTACCTACGCGAGGCAAACGCGGCACTGGCCGGATTCGTTTATTTAATCGCCAGCCTGGACAAAAAAATACACTGTATTCCTAAAGCGAGCGCCCCGCCGATTCTTTCCTACTTCGCAACGCTCTTGGAGTGGCTGTTTACTGGACGCGGGGCGGACGCGGATCATTCTCGGCGCTGTAACTCTGCCAACGGCCGCTAAAGGCGCACCTTCAGCCTCACCTGTCCTGACGTGAATCGAGTATTATCCCGTAATTAGCGCCCTTTTATTCATCCCGACGGTATTTATCGGGATACCTGTAAGAGCGGATGTTTCATCACTCTTCCCAAGAGGAGGCGTGGAGATTTATTATCCACTCTGGTTATATAAAGGGAGCTGAGGTGGTGTTGGCTTCGATTCATGAGAATTTGAAAAACTCTCGAGGTTTTGTCAAAAGTACTCTAAAGCGGTTGTCCTTCCCACCTCCGCCCAACCTCGAGTTTGGAATAAAGAAGAAAGGTTGCCAGGATCCGAAGACAAAATTCTTCTTTCCTTGTTCACCTGTAAGAGTAATCTAATTGGAATTTTAAATGATAACTAAAGGCTTTTAGGGAGCATATTTCTTCGACCTATAAAAGACTTAAGGCTCCCGTCACGTATGCTAGTCACTCTTCACTTCGTCACGTGTGTACAGTACATCCCTCATAAAGGAAGGGGTTAACATTCAGATGAAGGATGGAGGCACGTGTTTTATATGCATCCGGGAATCTGGTCATTGCTAAGCTAAAACATTTGTGACTTTGTTAGTGGGAAGTTGCCAGGGGGAGTGAAAGGCTTTTTCCTGAGGAGTTCTGACCACGGGATACGAAGAGTTTCCATAAAGACAAGAAACCTCGTCTGGTTACAGCGACCGCGGGGTGAAATGTTCAAAGATCAATAACACTGGAAAGCTTTGCCTTACAGGCAGACCTGAGCAGCCAAACCCGGAATCATCCTCACTCCTCCCCCGCATTTTCCCTTCTTTGTTCCCGGAAATACTGGGACGGGGGGGGGG